ATATTTGAGCACAATTGCACAAAATCAGACCAAAGTTTAAACCTTAAAAATATGAGTGGAAAAAAATCTCTGTGCATTATCATTATGCAGTCAAACGTTTGCAGAAAGTTCTGACTAATTACTAGTTTGACAGGGAACCCATTTTAAATCTGTGATGCATAAATCTTCACTTAAACTAGGCTGTGGTGAACCTGTGAACGGCTGGTGCAGAGAGCTGTGAGGTTCTCTGCTGCAGCTTGGCTTTAAGTCTGTAACCTCCCAAAGCCAAATACTGCATCCATTAGGCTGCTTCTTTACAGTAAATGTAACTGTGCAGGGCCATCATCACCTCTGGCTTGGACACACACACACACACACACACACACACACACACACACACACACACACACACACACACACACACACACACACACACACACACACACACACACACACACACACACACACAAAGCCAGCTCTTTCAGGGTGTAGTCTGTGAATGAGGCTGCTGGCTTTGGAAATGTGCTGACACAGCTTTAGAAAAGGCTGTGGTGGCCCAGTGTGGTTTCTAAAGAGCAGGCCCAGACTCCCAAACCAAACAGCATCTGTCTGCTGCTCCAACATGTCCACACCCAGACCAAAACATACTGCTAGCAAAGATCTTTGAACTACACTGACTTAGATTATTAAGGATTTTAAAATAACATAAACCTCACTGTGCTACCAAACTCAGTAAAACAAATGAAGTCCTGTTGATACAAAGAAATGTAAGTTCTTGTAAAAGCTTGACCAACCCATCTACTTGTGCACAAAAACGCCTAGTTTCAAGAAACTTCATTGCATCTATCAATGTTTGGCTTGTTGTCCTAAACCAATGTTAACCGACGAAGACATCACTTACTGATACAGGAAAGCATTCTGTAATAATGCAACAATGTCAAGTACAAAAGTGTATGACGAGTTTAGTCCTTGTTTCAATTGTGTATTTTTTGTAAAATCTTTGAATTTCAATTGTGTCTACAAAACTGAGTGATACTAAATGTCTGGCTGGTTTTCCCAGCTGTTTTAAAGTTCAGAGTTAGTCTCATTGTAATGCCATCAGCGTAATGTAAATCACTGAATGGTTGAATAACTGAATAATGCACACGTAAACACTGAGTAGTACACCTGCCAGATTTGGACATTGTCCATATGTGTGTTAAAGGTGAAGTGAAAGGTAATTACATGGCTAACAAGATTGACGGAAAGGTCAGAGGTCACATGTGTCACAGTTGTCCTGATGTCAGCAATGAGATTCTTCATTCTCTCAAGTGTTTTGTAAAATGCAAAGCATGACCCATTTCTACAGTAAGCTCTGTGCAATCTTCAATATATGAACACTATGACAAATGAATTTAATCAAATCATCTTTTTCTCAAATATTATACTCCACATAATCAACAAAATTGCCTCATGATTCTTAACAAACAGAAGCAGATGTAGACCAAACTCATTGTAATATTATTTACAGAAACCCCAGTTGCACCATAAGTCTCCTCTGGGATGTTGTACTCTTAGCTCCGAGCTTCACAGGCCTCATGACTCTCACATGAGCATGAATCAGCTCAGTCTAGTGCTGTAGGCCCAGAGCCGGTTACCACACTCTGCAACCGATACAGGTTCTTTTTAGCTTCCACGCAGTCTTATTCTCCGTATACTCGCACATTGTGTTCCCCCTCTAACTATCATAAATGTTTTAAACTCCCTCTTGGCGCAGAATGATAATAACGCTCTTTGTAATAGTTCTGAGAGTCTTTTTGGTTTTTGCTGGAAATTAAATAAAGATTCCTCTGTGTATCAATTTATTCACAGAAAACAAACTGAAGACATTTGTATTAGATCTTCACAGTTCAGTTATCCGTGAAAGAAGGGGCTGATGATTGCATGTTTAAAGCTGAGGTGTTTTCTTATTCAGGGCTACAACAGGGCATCTGTCTCAACTAGACATGAAAGTCATTTTCCTCTCTATTCACATCCCTCAATCATCTTTGAGGGATGCATTGAGACAAATTCAGGATATTTCACAGCAAGCCATTGACCACTTTTGGTTCTGAAATCATGTGGCTAACCAAAGTGTTTAATGTTTGCATTGTAGCTATGTAAGGTTAAAGGAAAACAAAATGTAATTGTGTTTCTCGGACTTCATTTAGTTTACAGAGTTGATTATAATTACGAGGCAAAAGACATAATCCACAATCACAAGACTCTTGTGATCCAAGCTTTATCAATCCAGTTGTTGGTTAGTGTTTTTTTTAAAGGCATCACTACTACTATTAAAATAACTTTTATATTCACCGAGGCTAAACTGTTGATGTGTGTGTTAAGTGAACTAAACAGTTAAACGTCATCACCCTTCTAGTCGGTACTAGAATTACTAGTCAGTTAAACACATTTCTAATATTTGTTGGCCCGATGCCGGTCAAATGTTATGCTCAAACTGCAACGCAGCCGCTTTCACTTGCTGTAGCTATAAACTGCCTGAGGCTCCAGTTATTGGGCCTGCTACCAGGATGTAAACAGGCACAGTGAATGAACAACTGTAGGAGCAGTTTTTTAATCTATAACACTAACATGAAAATGTTTGTGGACTGTGTCAGGTTAAACTAGCTTATTCACACTACATTTGACGACATTTAAAACAGGAATATGGACGAACATGCAAGGTGGACCAAAGGCTGGCACGACTTGTATAAGCCACACTTTGCTAATTGGCATTGTTTACCCTCAGACACATTTAATTAAATTGTGCTCCATTTGATTTTTTGATCATTCTTCATGTCAAGGCAAATTTAAAGAAGCAGGGAGAGCAGTTTTGGCATGTCAGTGTGGCTGAGACTTGGCAGTGGATCGGTCACGTTCAGCCAGGCTCATGCTGCTGATTTATTGGAGCATTGACTGCCAACAGTAGCCAGAGGGAAAGCATGATGTGGGCCTGTCATCTCCATCACCATTCACATTTCACCAGATGTCCCGTGGGCAGTGCACACACAGTACTGTGGTCCTCACTCGGGTTTACCTCCTAGCCTAAAATAGAACTGGGTCAGGCCAGACTCTTGTGATATAAAGAGAAAGGAAACAACATCCAAAGCCAGGTCTGCAGAGTGTTTTAAGGTTGTTTGAAACCAAACATTAACACTAGATATATCTGTGAAGCTGTGTTTTCACTTAAACTTGTAATCAGACTCTGCTTCATTAGCTGAGACTTCTGGTGCCAGCAGCAGCTCTTGCTTTTTATAAGCTGCTTTCATTTTGACTGGAATAAAAAGCCTTTGATAAGCTTGTTTTCTACATTAAAGGACACCAGTTTACTGCCTTTGAGAATGTTCCAGAATTATGCAACTACAAAAGCCACTTTCTTTTATTTAATTTTGTCCCCCTTTAGGACTTCTATGTAGCGTTGTGTACCCTTTAAGGTAGTGGAGTTACTGATGACAAAGACATTCAACACTATTTAGTGACTATGTCTCAGCTGCCACTTTTTAGAGCACACATGCTAAAAACTCCACAGAGCATTGTTGAAAGGTGACTGTCTGACACGTTACCAGATCCCTTGGTATTTTCTGAAGTCATCATAACTAATAATTGAGAGAGATCATTTTTTGGTGTGTCTAATAATTGTGTTCACCTTTTATCTTTGTTAGTAGCGTTGCTCTACGTGTCAGAATACTTTATTAATCCCGGTGGTTATATTAGAGTTATATTGGAGGCAATGTTTGGTGGTTGGTCCATCATTTTTGTCCAAACTGGAGTACCTCAAGCCCTGTTTCATTGTTAAGCATGGTGTTATATAAAGGCATCCATGGTTGGTCCGTCGTGGGTAAATCTTGTTATCTTTTATGATCCCTTCACATATTTTCCAGTACCTATTTTCCAGGCATACACATGATGTCATCTAATGAAAAGTAAGAATTTAGGGGATTAAGATTACTTACAATTTGTTTTAATCATGTGGTCGGAATTTAATTTGTCTACAAACTCTCTACCTGGTAGGGCTGGTTAAAAAAATCGATTCATCAATGCATTGCAATTATTATGAAAAATCACGAGATCGATTTTTTTCCCGTTGTATTGACACCCCTCTCCACTTGGGGGCACTGTGGGTGCTGTGCATTTTCGTTGTAATAACATCCCTCTCCACTGGGGGCACTGGTTGTGAATTCAGGTCAGGCACAATCGTGCACTTTACATTTACTTTTTGTCCGTGCCATTACAGCACTGTTATGTTTATTAAGATTTTGCTGCAAATTCAGGTCAGGCACAATGTGCCCTTTAGATCATACTGTACTTTAGTGTTTTAATCTTTGTTTATTAAAGAATAATGCAACGATAAAATACATATCAGAGTCAGTTTGTTTTAAACAAATAGAAACAATGCTAACATAATTATTTAACAAATATCAGAAGGTACTGTAAGTAGTTATCTGGGTATTTCTCTCATCTATGCGTAATATTGAATCGATATCGAAGCATGTTATCAATATCGAATCAAATTGATATCTAATCGAATCGTGACCCAAATAATCGAAATTGGACAATTGTGGACAATACCCAGCTCTACTACCTGGGGCAGATGTTCAGTGGTTGAGTCGGTCGTCTCATCCAGAAGGTCAGGGGTTTGATCCCAAGCTCAAGGCATCTACATGTCCGGTGTATCCTAGGGGCAAAACACTTAATCCCAAATTGCTCCCACTGCTTCATTGGCGACGTGAATGTGTATGGGATTAGTAATACTGATGGACACTTCACATCGCAGCCTTTGTGAATGGAAAGGCGTGACCTGCAGTGTAAAAGCGCTTCGAGAAGTCAGAAGACTGGAAAAGCGCTATACAAGATAGATATCATTGTTTTTGTGAGCATACCAAAATTAGTCTTAAGCTCAATACAGACAGGTATCATTTTGGTAAACTTGAAAGTGTCTGAAGTCATCTTAACTCAAACATGGTCCTTGTATTAACGGAACTGGTGTTCTTCTTGACTTCCAGGGGAAAGTTTGCTGTGGTCAGAAAGTGTGTGGAGAAATGCACAGGCAACGAGTACGCTGCAAAGTTCATGAGGAAGAGACGGAAAGGCCAAGACTGTCGGATGGAGATCATCCATGAGATCGCAGTGCTCGAGTTGGCCACAGCCAGCCCCCGAGTGGTCAACCTCCACCAGGTCTTTGAGATGGCTTCTGAGATGGTGCTGGTCCTGGAGTTGTGAGTATCCATCATAGCACATTTAGCATCTTAACAAAAAAAGCTAGATTTATGAAACGAATCTAATTGAGAACATTTTAATGTTCTTAAAAAGACTTAAAAAGATTTGATAGTTCCAAATACTCACAAATCTGATTGTCAAAGACCTCAGATAACCAGGGGTTGTCCTATCCAGCCATGAGTGTTTTCATGTGAAAGAGTTTTTCATCACAAGCATCATTGTGGAGCAGTACTTTGTTTGGAAGGAGATAAAATAAAACCATCATACCGAAGAACTAAGGTTAAGAACTTCTGATTATTTTACGAAGTGAAGTTAACAGTAGAGAGAGTATTTGCCTCTTTAACCCAAACTGGTAGGATCCAAAGGAGAGGGGCCTGATTGAAAAGTCTGCCTCGCATACTACTTTTGAAAATTGTACCACAAGCAGGTCTGCATTCTGAAAGCACAATGTTCTAGAAGGGTTATAGGATACTACAAGCTTTTCAATATACACTGGTGTGTGACATTTAAAACTTAGTACTTGAAGAGATGGATTTTAAACTGTATTTAGATATCATTGGGAGCTAAATTCTGAGAAGTTGACATCGGAGTAATATGATTTTTTTTCCCTAGTCTCTTTCAGTAAACTTTCCATAGCATTTTAACCACCTAATGATAATTTTAAGACGTATTTGAGCAGGATAATGATAAGGAGTTTGTTGGAGGGTTTGCATTGTTTTGGATGGGATGTGCCTGATTTCTGCAATGTTACGTAGGTTATGAATGGCTTTATGGTCTAATTGAAGGACTTATCCTGATCAAATAGAACTCCCGGTTTCCAGTTATGCACTTTAAAATATAGGCCAGAAAAAGCCCACAAGAAGTAAATAGTGTGATGTTCACAACGAGTGAGAGAAAAGAAAAGGCGATATAGCTGGGGCTCTTAAGTCCTGCAGGGCTTCAGGCCAAATTTGAATGCTCCAGCAAACACTAGCTATTCTAGCAATGAGCTTCTCCTGTGTCCCTTTGTATATACACACACTCACTTATGCACAGGCTGTTTTTGCAGGATATGGACGGATCGAGTTTCCTGTGTCCCAGGATTATAGTGTTGTAGAGGTGAAGGAGATGTCAGTCAGACTGACAGCAGTTCGTTGTGTTAAATCCACCAGTAACACCAAATAAAGACCAACTGCAGCAGTTTGACCCAGTATGTGGGATTAGTGCACACGAACAAAAGTTGCCGTGCATGTACAGTATGGTGTTGACTCCGGTAGCTGCACCAGTTGTTGATGATCTCATCTCACTGGACATTCCCCAGCCATGCTTGACCTGGTTCCCATGGTGTGTGTGTGTGTGTGTGTGTGTGTGTGTGTGTGTGTGTGTGTGTGTGTGTGTGTGTGTGTGTGTGTGTGTGTGTGTGTGTGTGTGTGTGTGTGTGTGTGTGTGTGTGTGTGTGTGTGTGTGTGTGTGTGTGTGTGTGTGTGTGTGTGTGTGTGTGTGTGTGTGTGTGTGTGTGTGTGTGTGTATTCATGCATTCATGCATTCATGCTTGTGTTAAGGCCTTCCCTCCTCATGCCATATTGAATTTTGCCTGTATCCCTCACCATAGAGATACCCAGAACCCCCTACCATCTACACACACACACACACACACACACACACACACACACACACACACACACACATACATTTTAGAGTATGTGTTCACAGTTCGCCAGTAGATTAGAAAGTATTGACACTTTCTGACTCAGCTGTCATTTGTCTTTTATGACCTCTTCACAGCCTCTGACAGAATGATTTAAATAATAATAAAACACAGGTTTTAACACTGGTAAAAATTGACTAAAAAGTCTTATAAGCGAAAGGATAGAGCCACATCACTCTTTTATTTCATAGCAGCTGGATTATCCACGGAGTAGGATGAAAAACATTATACAGCTGTTTTCATAGGCTGAGAAGGAGTTCCCATGACCAATAAGAAAGAGTTGTGAAGTAGTTAAACAACAGTGAGAAAAATTACAAATAATATGAATAGTTAAACCATCCTGGGGTTTTTTCAAAGCTCTGGAAACAAAAGATTTATATCCCAAACAATCAATGTGTCAATGAATAGCACATTTACCACTTAAATACATTATATACTTATAATCAACATTTTCTTTTGATGTCCCAAACTCATGGAACGGCCTCCAGAAAACTCTAAGATTGGAGTCCTCTCTTGCAGAGTGTAGGATTTTCATTTCTAGCCACTTTGTTTCAAATTGTAAGTGTTTCAGTTGATCTCAGTAGTTTTTGTAATTGATCATAAGTGTTTTTTTTGTTTTGTTTTTCTTGTTGTAAATGTGCATATAACCTCGGCGGCATTGGAAATGAGGAAAACTTCAGTGTCCTTTCAAGAATATATAAGTGTTTGAATGCTACCTTGGATATTTTTTTAAACCTTTAGTCATTTAAAAAAAAAAAAAATAGAGCAAACTAGAGCCCAACCGAGTAGTTGCAGCATTTTTATAGATAACTTGCTGTAGATTTGTGAAATTACATGGGATTTAGATATTTGAAGTTATTTATAAGTGTTCAACTTTTTTGGAAACACAGTTTCTAAATACTTATATCCCCATGATGCTTTGCTACCTTGGCTTGAGAGAGAAGTCAGTCAAGGGTGTATAACAGAGCTTCAGACCATTTGCAAAAATGTTTTCTTTCAGTTGGAAAACAAGACACCAAAGTAGAGCGTCTGTAGTATCTACTGAATCAGAAGCTTGAAGCATATAAGCAGCATATTGTAAAAGCAGTTGTCAGCTTCAGTGGGACAAAATAGTTGTAATATTCCATATTAAGAATCGAAGTTCTTCTAAATTTACCACACTTTGTCTGCAAACAAATGAAGTGACAGTTTTAATCAGGAGCCAGTGTCATCTTCACATTGCTCGTTAAAAGTAACAGAGCAGTGGTGTATTCACCGCATGTGACTCATAGGCTAAAGTTCAAATCCAAACCATGTCAATTTTTTATCATCAAACTTGTTTCCTGCTTTCACTGAATGTTTGCATGTAGAGAGATAGAGCAGAGACGATGGCAGCATTGTTAGGCTTGTGTCTTTTATAGGATTATGTGCTGTCAGCAGCACATGCCATACAGTGCAATCTGTCTGTTAAGGAGATCCCATTAATGCCCCTTTAAATGCTCCAGTCAGCCCAGTCCTCCCCCACCTCAATCCATAATCCCAATCCCAGCCCTTTGTTGAGGAAAAAGGATAATCCCAGAATTAACTGCTGCCCTGAATGAGCCCCTTGTCACGGACACACCGTCAACTGGCACATACAAACTCAGACCAAACAGAGCATCCCATATTCCCATGATATTAAACGTAGAGTTATCAAAGGAATGTAAAAGTGATGGGAGAAATGTATGTCTAAATAAAAATTGGAAAAAAAAAAGGTTTTTAATTGAATAATTGAATCAAACGCCATATTTTAAATATGGTGTGTGAATGTGAGTGTATAGTCTCCAGCCCCTCGACCCCGATCGGGAAAAGCGGTATAGATATTGGATAGATAGATGACAGGTCTATGCACTTGGATATTCCAATAGAGTCGGTGTGCAGGCCTCTATGATCAGAAGACCTGTTTCCACCAAGCGGTTAGGTTTGGTTAAGCACGGTTTTGTACGGTTTGTTAATGTAAATCCTGATGTAGCTCGCGTTTCCACAGCCAATCGTACCCTTACCCATCGCTAAATCACAGCGGCGCAAAATAGTGTAGACCGCCAAAGAAAGTGACACAGTAAACAAGAAGCAATGATTCCTAGGAAGGTCTGCATCTCTGCGGCAAAAAAAAAAAAAACAGCCTTGAAATGACTCTCTCTAAATCCACAGGATATTTAAACATGCAGCGTTTTGTGTTTGTTCTTTATTACCGCTGCAGCATGGTAAGTGAAGATTCTTTTGACCAATCGACGGACTGCAGTGTATCTAGCTCCAGCCTTGGGTCGGATCGGTATGCTTGGCATCCCAATAGAGGGTTACTATAAAAGTGGAACAGTACGGATCAGTTATTTTGATTCCATTCCCAACTTTTGACAGTGGAAACATCAATAAATGTGTACCGTACAAAACCAAACTGAACTAGGCCGCTTGGTGGAAACAGGGCTTTGTTTCTATCCCTTAAAACATCTGTCCTAAAGGTAATTTCTTCTCAAAAGGGCCATCATTTTTTATTAGAAAGGGTTTAACAAGGTGGCATTATTAAAGGAATCCAGTGGCTACTACAGCTCTGGCATAGGATGATAGCACTTTAAAAGCCTATTTGGTGATGTTTCTGCATCAAGCACTCAGTATCCTCCAACCCTTCTCCAACCTCACAGAATCTGACAAAGGTGCTCTTTCATAATGACTCATGATGTGAAAGCAGTGCGGAATCCCAAAGTAGTATCAGTGCTTGTGACTTTGGTCACACGTCTTCATATCATAAGCTTGGTTGCACTGAATCATTTCTCCTGATAGACATGCCAACCAAACCAATAACAAAGATGTTGTGAAATAGCAAAGGATTATGGGAGTTAAAGTCTCAGGTTAAAATCTGTCCAGCTCGTTAAACATTCTTTTCCCATTTATTCATGTAATGTTTTTTATTTTATTTTAATAAAAACATTTTAAGGAATTTTATCAAAGGCCAACAGATTGCCGGTTTCCTTCCTCCCTCCGACATTTCATCAGGGGTTACTCTGTTTCCCAGAGAAAGTTAAAGGTATGACTGGTGTTTGCACAGCAGCTTACAAAGTCTTACAACGACTTTAAATGTCTCCGCAAAACTATGTCAGAGATGGAAAATTGTGCACACGGATCCTGTGGATATTATGAAGTCTTCAAAATGCTCAACTGAATTTTTACTCCACAGTTTGCGCCCCAACCGTTTAATATACAAAATCAAAGGATGACTTTTCCATCTTTATTCAAACATGGGACTCCTTCCTTAAGTTATCAAGACAATTTAGTCCTGTTGTGATATGAATAAATACA